TCCTTTTTGTGTAACTTTTATATCCTTTTTATCATTCTCTCTTGTTTGCTTTTTGTATTCACTATATTGGGAATCGAGATCTATAATGCCCAGGCGATTGATCTCTAATAAATGCTTAGATTAAATCTATTTTATGCTGAAATAATCTAGAATTAAAAAACACATAATTTCAGTAGTCAGCAACAAAAACCAAGCAAGTTGTATCTCAAACTGCAAATTATAGCTGAAAAAAATCAACTTTCACTTGGACAAAAAACCAATATCGGGTGGCTCAGATAAAATCGGACACTTTCATTCGTTGTTCATGAGGCATTGTCCAACAGTCCACAGAGTTGATTCTAAGCTCAATCGATAGAGAATTGAATTCTCGATAAAACTTGCTACTTGAATCTCTGGTAGCAGTTTTGTCATTTGAGCACTATTCAAAATATTGAAGAGTGCTGAGTTGCCTGACTGCGACAAGCTTTTGTCGTCTCCTTTTTTGAGATTTTTAGCCCATTATTTGAGGTTCAATAGTTAATTTATCTACGTAGATGGATAGAGAATTTTGTGCTCTATCGATCTCACTTCTTTACAACTTCATACAGTGTTTCTGCTACGCCAGCTAAACTTATAATTAGCTCTCAACCGATTTTTCAATTTTTTTAATTAATGGTTGAGAAACTTAATTAATTGAGAAACTTTGTTTAAATATGAAACGATGCCGAATTTAAGTCTGCATAAGAAAATAAGACTAAAACCCTGGATTCACAACATTTTACTGCTTTTATAGGCAAAAAACTAAATTCTGTGAAAAATAGATTCAAAACTTAGGTTTTATTGGATTTGTCAGTTTTTTGCACAGGTAAATTTTCTTTGGAGACTTAACTGTAAAATTTCGAAAAATATGTGAGAAGATGCAGAATTTTCCGGTAAATCTTCTGGTGTTTTCAAAATTCTTATGAAATCTGTTTTTGGATCAAGCCAAATAGTTTTCTATTTTCAGTGTGTCGTAGTTAGGCAACTCAGTACTCTTCAATATTATGAATAGCGCACAAACGACAAAACTGTTATCAGAAATTCAAATAGCAAGTTTTATCGAGAATTCAATTCTCTATCGATTGAGCTTAGAATCAACTCTTTGGACTGTTGGACAATGCCTCATGAACAACGAATGAAAGTGTCCGATTTTATCTGGACCACCCGATATGTGCATTAGATAACCCATCAGAAGTAAGCGGAAGATCAGTGAGAGTTTAAAAATAAATCGCTTTAGTTTAGTCAAAAAATTAACTGAACTCTATTTTCGGTAACGCACAGACATCGATTTATTCTAGTTTTTCAAACGATTTTGCTCATAGCAAAAACGATCCCGGAAACTTTAAATAGATGAAAATAAAGCCCAGACTCTGCGCTTCAAAATAATATAAGATACTTCATGATCATCACTTTCGTTCTTCCGTTGTATACTTTTTTCTTGTAGTATGATCAAATATGCAATATTAGTAGCCATTCACGATTTTGTTTGATCCATGTTTTTTCGTTTAATAGGCATGAACAAACAGAATAAAAGGCAGTGTCCTATGCAGAAAAGTGTGTTTTACAATTTGATGATTTTTATTTTTGTTTGGTATTAACTTCTACTTTATTCATGCTGGTCGACCGTTAGCCGTTCTTCACGTAACACCAACCAATGATCATGATCGTTTCTTATTATATGATAATGAAGATAGTGGCGGTGGAATAGAGATATGTACGGATACCATTTTCGTACAGGTAACTGATCCGAAATTTTTTTTCCATCCGTACCCGACCCGACCCGAGAAACTGTGTACCCGTAATCGGCTTATACCTAAACATTTTCTCCTTCCAAGGTCGAAGAATCGTACGAGCGGATCATACCAGATAGAATATGATCAGTTACACTTATACTGTATGATCGTACCCGAACCGGTATGATCTAGAATAATCGTATAAATTCATACATATGAAATGGTACGATCGGCATCCGAATCGTGGGCCCTGAAAAGTCACAGGATCCAGACTATACGTTTCGTACAACAATCGTACGCACGATATTGTACGATCTGATCCTATGAGATCTTATGTGCGAAATAGTAAGATTAGATAAGATCGTGTCTGCTTTTATACGATCGTATACGATTTTATATACGAAGGATACATGATTCTGACTGTTTTTGCTGGTTTCTCTTGCTAGTCTGCTTTTGTTTTGTTTGTGCGTTTTTGCCCCGTATGAATCTTCCCGATTCGTTTCTTTTTCATGTCTTTTAATCATGTATGGGAGATATAAAAGGTTTAGAAAAAGAGTCGCTGTGTTGGAAAAACTGTAAAAATATTTCAGGTCATTGGATAAATCTCATTGAAACAGGAAAAAAGAATTTAAAAATACAAATAATATAAATTTCTTAATGTGAATTGAGATTAAAAGATGCCCTTATTTCGTAAACAAATTTTTATAAAGAGCCAAAAATAGAGTAAGAGAAGCAGTCCTTTCGAGAATAAGTCTAAAAAAATGTGTCTTAAGACGCATTTTTTGGAGAGAGTTCTCCAGCATGCTGGAGAACTCTCAGAGAAAATCACATGCATGTGATTTTCTCTTTCATACGCTGCTATATGTCTGCTTCTGACTCACCCCAACCCAACTTTCGAAAATATGCTTACGTGAAGCTTCGAGCGCAAAATCGTGTCATAAAACTAACTAAATTCCTATAAACTTAGCGCTCGAGCAGTTTAGTGTCAGCAATATACTTCTAATGCTAAACAAGTCATTTGAATTAAAAATTGAGCTTTTTATAATAAAAAGTATAAATTGCAGCAAAAGTAAAAAAATGATCAAAAGAGTACGATTTGGACTCATATCATATGAAATTATACGACACAATCACATACAATTTTTACCAAACGATTTTGTACGAATCATACTATACGATTTCATACGAAATACCTGATCTACAAGTAATCAGACCCGCACCAAATCGTAGTATAAAAAATCATATGATCTTACAGTACGAATGATATCACTTCTTACGTCTCGTACGATCTTGCACATTCGTGTACGATCCTAGTACGATTCTTCGACCTGGGTTTTTGTTTTCCAACTAAAAACTTTTGTTTTTCGGCTGAAGATGTCAAATTATCATTACGTTCTCAAGTAATTCTTTTTTTGAAGCTTCATGTATGTTAGTTAAATTCCTTTATTGTTTCACTAAAATTTTGTGAGTTTTCCACTAGAACCTTCCGGTTTTCGGGTAAATTAAAAGAATTAGAACCCGTACCCGTAACTGTTCTGCCCGTACTCGACAACTTTGTACCCCTACCCAACCTTTGGGTCGGGTTGCACATCTCTACGGTAGAATAATTATATGATCGTCTGACGATGATCTGGATCGTTTATCAAATTCTGAATATTGGCACACCGATGGCATATTCAGAGTAGGTTTAATGTAGCCTTGTGGCGACCTTAAAAAACAAGCCCTTACATCATTACTTGTCCTTTTTTTCTAGGTTGTTCCGCACCTTTTTTATCAGTTATACACAACACATGGTTCTATTTGTGGACGCACATTACCATTTGTATTTGCTCTTCTTCCTGGTAAATTTGGAGTGGTTTTTGGTGAACTATTTAACGTTTTATTACGGCATGTTACTAAACATCCAACATCAATTCGAATTGGTTTTGAGAAAGCTGACGAAACTGTTTTCAAACAAAAAATATCAACAGCAGCAACAAACACCTCATGCTTTTTTCATTTTAAACAAGTTTTATGGAGAAAAGTACAAGTACCTATTGACAGACATAGAGATAAATGGTGACATCTGACGTAATTATAACGATATATGATCTGTCTGTAAAGGATTTAGGCTTGCAACAACTATTCGTTGATGATTGTGAAGATCGACGTTATTTAAAAGGTTTTGCTTGCTTATCGTTTGTACCTGTAGCTTTTGTCCCTGTGAACAAATGTCCTAACCCCAAATATAGGGAGCTGTAATGCTGAAAGCTTAAATGTCGGGAGGCCAACCTTTTGTTTCTAATAGGAAGACCAGCAGCCGTTCGCATAGGATTTCTTCTAGTAGAAACGGAATAACTGACGCAAAGAAAATTCTATGAGTTTTCAGTTTCACGCAGTTTCAGTAAACAGGAAATGATGCGTCCCTACCTGTGTAGTAGTAGGGGGCAACGAAACTTAGTACCTTATTAATTCGTTCGTTAGTTAACTCGTAGCCAACATACGAATGAGGTCGAGAGCGTCGTTCAGCGATATTCGAAAAGAAAATAGTAAGTACTCAGTCGACTGCTATGGCTGGGGCCCAGAAGTGCTGAATGATTCTTTTAGAGCATTCACAAACGTGCTCAAAACCACTATCGAGAGTTACTTTACTGACAAGGGACGAATGGCGTGCAGCTTTGCGTTAGAATTCAATAAAGATTTTTTTCATCTATCAGATAATGGTGTTAAGTAATCTTAGAGTTTTGTTTAGTCTGTTTAGTTTGGATCCAAGAGTTTGGGCAGTCCTTAACCGAGCTTCTAGCCATAACTCCACAAGATTTTCTTTCCATTTAGACTTAATTGTTCAATAAAAGAATGTCTTCTATTAGTGAAAGTCAACAAGAAGTAGTAACGTTTAAAGATGCATTTAATGGTATGTTTGACGAAGACGCGCAAGACGTCATTGATAAAGAAAAATTGCGTGGAAAATTCAATCAGATAATAAAAGAAGAAGTTAGAAATTCTGAACACACACTGAAAAAAAGAGGATGTGCAATTGGCCCTGGTGCCGGACCCGGTTGGCCGGGTGTTCATGAACGAGAAATAGCCTCGTAGCTATTAATTTTTCTTGTAAATAGTGGTCTTTATTACAAAAAGCCGGGTGAATCGGGTAAATTGACTAGTTATCAACAGCGTCTCAAATAGATTTATTTTTTTTGAGGTCAACTAAGTTCAACAAAAGATCAACGATCATTTAATTGCTGAACTGGCCAGCAGCAAGAAAACAATCAGAGTTCCAGAAAAAAAACTGAAGGTACCAAAAGAGCTATTAGATGAACCAGAATCGGAAAAGACCAAAAACGAACACTTGACAACACGATTTGAAGCATTATCGATCGAAAATACAGAATCGAAAACAAAACTTTCTGCGGAACTCATCAGAAGTATTTTTTTGCAAAAACAGTTCAGATTGAAGTAAAAGCAAAGAAAGAAAATTCTGAAACAGCTGCACCGGTGATAGTTCCGTGCGAAAAACTACCTTTTTAAAATGCTGGTTTTCTTAGTTTGATTAAGACCGGCTTTAACCAGTAATAAACCAGACCGGCCGATCCGGCGCGATCCACTGTAAGAAGACTGGGACTGGTAAGAGAATTCTGGGCCGGTTACATCTATGGTCCTCTCGTACAACATGGCACAGCCAAAAAATAATGAGTATTATGCACGAGAGAGACAAGAAGTTATTTAGCGATAAGTTCCACTTTTTAAGCTCATATAATCAAGCCTTATGTCATACCTTGTAAAACGCTTTTCGAAAATTGAGAAAAAATAGCGACGGCGTTAGTTTTCTTTTCTATATATCTATGAATCGAATTTACGAACTCTACTAGATGGGTGACAGTACTGTGGTTGATCGAAATGTACTGTATTTTAGTTGCTTAACATGTTGATAAGCAGTCAGTTAAAGTCAACGAAAATGCCCTGAATGTCACAACATCCGAAGCACACGTCCCTTGAACTACTTCATTATATAAAGCAGTTCAAATACATTTCTTTTTGTAATTTTGAGGTCTTTTTTGTACTGATTGTGAGCGAATGACAATATTCCAATTTTGCATGGAAGTAGACTAAAACGACGTGTCAATATGCTGTTCCTAGGGTCAGCGTAATTTTAAAGCAATAATTTTGCTTTTGTTTTAAATCCCACACAATACAAGGACAACATTATTTTCTAACAATATACGTATCAAGGTCCAATAAAGAATATACCAACAATAAAAAATTATGATAACTTAAAAGCTTAAAAAATCATCAGTATTTTCTTATTATAAAATCGAAAGAAAATTGTATTATTTTGTGTTACTAACTAATTATACAATGTCATCTACATATTTCTTCGTCTTGTTATTTGTTGTATTTGTCAACGGTTCACCATTAAAGGAAACCTGTACAGCTACCGTGTGGGATTCAGGAACGGGTCCATGTCGAGCAGCAATTCAGACTGATCTTGAATGTTCAAATTCAGCATTGGATATTGGTCAAACCAAATATGTGACATGCGACGCAGTTCAATTTAGTTGGTCCTATCCAATGAATAATTTGACCATAACAATTGGAACTCAATATACGTACCAACGAAAACCGTTTACACTCTACCTGGATAATAGAGGTCAAACTATTTATCGTATACACGATGGGGGGCAGGAAACCGAAATAACATCGAGAGATAAGGTGATTATTCAATATTCCGATGCAAATTATCAAATTATATTAAAATTTCAAGAAGCCGATACCATTGGACCCTATCTTGGCTTTATCAATTACAAAGTAGCTCCGCAGTGAACACAAATAATGCCAACAAACATACGTATTGCAGGAAAGTTGTATTTATAGAAATGAATCTAATAAATATGAATTGAGAAATATTACACTACAACGATTTTCTCTCTCGGAGCTAAGGAGAGATGCTAGCTAACAGAGGTGCATGAAATACGGAGGTAGAAATACATTATAGGCAGAAAATTCCTTTATTCCTTTTCTTGTTTTCTCTCTTCATCTAGATAAGAGCTGTTGTGCATGTTTTCTCACTTAATTGGGCATTATCAAGTTCTAGGAAAATTCCACCTCTAGGTTATGCCATCAGTCTGCCGAGAACAGTTTGAAATGTATATTCTGGAATTTTTCCATGATCGTTCCATCTTTTTCATTATCCGCCGCGACTTTCTTACGTTCCGTTTGTGTTGAATCTTTTGATTATATCATTGAATATGGTACGAACTGAAATTTGACAGAATATTCGATTTGATTTATTGTATCACTATACAAACATTTGAGCAATTTTTATCGTTCTTTCGATTTCTGTTTGCAAAAACAACCCTAAACCTATTTGTGAAAAATCACTTTTAAACACTAAAGTTTTGTTTGTAGAATGAAAATCAACCATCCAATAATTGCACATAAAGTGCAATTAATGATCATTTGCAAAAGAGTCGACGATTAAGACTTTTTATATTAACAAAGGGCGGGTAGCATTAAGGCCTCTACTCGGACCAAAACGTTACGCCACGAGACATAAATATTCGGAATCAGCATCGAACTCTGAGTATTGTAGGTATCTTAGAACACTCAAGCTCAAAAAAAAGCTTTTAACCTCTGATCCTCGACCCAGGTGTTATAGGACCAAGCCAAAGAAGGTTTTTTCCAAATTGAATGAAGACAACATCTAATAATATGCATTAGGGTGTGCTGATCACAAATATCTCAACCAGAGCTCTTGAAAACGCTTCCTTGTCAAACCAAGAAAAAAAAACAAGAGTATAAGAGAAAAAAAATAATTATGGCTTATAAATCATACGCGTTTAGAAGCGTTCTACATTAAGTCAGACTAAATAGATCTTTACACAACGCGCGTCTGAACAAATTTGCAGAAAAAAGCAGCAAATATCTTTCGTGGCAAAACGTTCCAGTCTGATACAGTTTTGGGTAAAAAAGATGATGAAGTGCTTTTACGTTTAAATTTTGGAATTTGCTAAAGACATCTATTAGATGTTCTAGCAAATGTTCGAATAGTTAGGAATTTTATTAGAGAAAAGAGTTGAGTGCTGTGCGTTCTGTCATGAGTTTATGAAAAAAAGTTAATCTGAAATATTTTCTCCGTTCTTCTAAATCATATAGCTTTAACTGTTGAATTATGTCAGAACTGTTGGCAAAGAATTTGTTAGTAATCATTCGTGCAGCTAGTTATATACATTCGCACTGTTGTCGTTAATTATTTCAATCGAACACCCATTTGAAAACAATTCATATTCATAGTAATTATATTTCTGAATTCAATAATCATCATAATAATTCTCCACCACAACTGTCATCATTATCGCGGACAGAGAATTCTTCTATACAGCATTGGCATAGTTGTTTATATTCTGTAGATCAAAGTTGTATATCATTCGGATATTTATTACATTTAGAAATAATACATATAGCCACAATAGCTCAACAGATTTGTGCCGATGATCAATATGAGCAACCAATTGTACCAAAACCAATAAGAAAACATTTGAAAAAATTTTCTTTACATAAGATCATTGATTAAGGACGGTGGCGCAAAAGCTCTAAAAAACCAGTCATAGTTTCTGAGCCGCCTCTCCCGAGTGGACATCAAGAAAAAAAAATTTTCCATGGCCCGAAAATCTAGTACGAACGTATGAAATAAATATTTGTCCGAGAGTCCTACACAATAGAAGTTAGCTCTTTCTTTTCCTTTCCTTTTCTATCATTTAACCAAATTTATGGAGCTAATCTTTTAAATGCGAGAAAGGAAGAAACCGGTCTTTTATTTTCTATCCTTTTCTTTCCATAATGTATTTAAGGGGTGGACCACTCCATAAGATAAGTGCACCAGCTTGTGGAGAACACTTTGAAAGGTATATCCTGAACCTTTTTTCCAGGATGAAATTTCAACTCTTTACGGAAAACGTTTTTTCCTGAAATATTGGCAATTTTTTTGCCGATGTTGAAAAAGTTTCCTCAAAATTGCATTCTGAACAGCTTATACTACGGTACTTTTGTTTGTAAAAATCATCTGCATTTGTAGCAAGATTTTCACAAATTACTTTTAGCCTCAAAAACCTATCAAAATGTGGAAAAAATTATTTTCTCAGTGACATTTCAGTGGAAGTCCACCAAAATTTCCGGATATATGCAGTTTGAAATGGCCTTTCGAACTGCGAAAGAATCCTGGCTACAACTTAAACCTGATTTTTGGGAAACTTTTCCAACATCGGTTAAATTGTCGATATTTCACGAAAAAACGTTTTATCCTCAAGACTACTGTTTTCTTAATCTAACTTGACTGTAAATCGGTTGTACCTGGATGACTTTTACCCATTTACAGTTGTATTGTGTGTTGTTAAAGAAACTAAGAACAAATATTTCACTTAGCACCCATTATTTTTTTAATTGAATGATTACATTTATTTTCTATAATCACATCACGCTCAAAAATACTTTGTAAGTAAATATTTTTAGTGAAGAGTTAGCTAGTTTTCTGAGTCTAAAGGTTCGTTTGATCGATCCTTTTCCCACACCACATGGGATCGACGTCGTCCTTAATGCAGTGTTACATGGATTAACAGCAAATTTTCAACAATTTCAAATACTACTAACACAATTTTCTTACACATTAGAATATCTGTCATTACATATTCATTGTGATACAGATTTGAAATTTATAAATGGTCATTATTTATATCATCACATATTATCTAAATTATCAAAATTAAAACACTTACAGTTTTGTATACAGCTTTATCATTATTATAATCAATTATTTGATAAAAATCACAATAAAATAAATCTTATCTCTACTATCATTGATTTACAAGAAATTATAAAAACATATCAAATACCATATTGGTTACAACAATAAACAATATTTTTTTATGAACATCAAGAAAAACAATTTTATGTTTGTGTGACATTACCCTATTATTATCAATATTTTCATTCATTGACACATAATATCGTTAATTATCATTTAAATAAGCTTCTAATTCAAACACCATCACTACTAACAATGTCAAACGTGAATAAAATTGAATTTTATTATGATCTGGATCATAATGAATTATTAACATTAGAATTATTCCAGTTTATTCAAAAAAACATTTCCACGAGTTAAAATATTAATATTACAAGAATTTTATGATGTCGATCATAAGATAACAAGAAACAACATACAATTGCCAACAATCGAAAAATTACAATATGAAACATATTATTTTTGAAATATTTTTAGCATCCGTATAGCCTCACGAGCCTAAATCTAAACTTATTTTCACAGTAACAATTGGTTTTAATGGTGCATACATTCTCGGATTAATAAGAAGTATGTAGAAGACTCAGTCTCACACTACAATTCCAGCCTCACCTATTGGAAGACTCACATTATGTTAGTGTTATGCTCATTTCGATAAAAAGAAGAAGACTGGCTGGTCGCTAGCTGCTACCGTTCCCAACTTTTTTGAAAATTAGCCAATCTTCTTTTTTTCGAAATGGGCATAACACTAAAATAGTTTGAGCCTTCGGATTTTCCAGAAACACGTGGCTCAAACTTTGGCTTTAGCGGTTTCTTCGTATGGACTTTCTGGTGATATACTCCAATCGAAAATAAAAAGTTCTGCCTCCTAATGTTCCCTCTTATGGAAGCCGAAAATTTGTATGGTCATCAAACGACCCCTTTTTGCTTCGGGAACAACCCTAGACAAAAACTATTTGTAAAATCTTATAAGAATCTTGCACAATTCTTATATAAGATCTTCCATGAAAGTGACAAAAATTCATAAGAAATTGATCAATGGAGCTCTTGCGCCACTGTCCTTAATCAATGATCTTCTGTAAAGAAAATTTTTTCAAATGTTTTCTTATTGGTTTTGGTACAGAGCTAATAGCGATGATAATCCCAAAACGCTTTCTCTATGGGAGTACGAGTAAGATCTTTAATTCATACATTCCCTTACATCTGTCATAATTAAAATAATGTGTGGGCACATTGCTATGCAAACACCGATGCCATACATTATTTTTCGGTGATCTTAGGCTTACAGTCACGGAAATAATGTGAATCAACGATCGCTCGAAAGTCGGCAATCAAAACGTTGGTAATTTTGATCTCATGCTAATGTAAACTCATTCGAAGTCAGTGTCATTATTTTGTCAAATGTTCTTTACTTAATCATTTATATCTACGATTTAAAAAGCAGCTTTTGCTTAGCGTTAACCAAGTGCATCCCCTCTTATGCCGGAGAATGGCTGTGGTTCATGAATTACTCCAATGATAATATGAGACCAAGATTCATTCTGAAAAGTAAAGAAATCTCCGGAAAAATACGCGGTTTCTCTCTGAATTTACGAATACCATATTTTGAATACATATAAAAGAATTCACAATGAAATTCTTCATTTTTTAGTTGTTATTTGAAGGAGAATGGAACATGTGCTGTACAGAGTCATAAAAAATATTTTTTATTAAAAAACATATGCTGTCACACATCATTCGAATCACCCTCCAATAGTGAACAAAAGTACGTATGGATTCAAGAAACTTTCATTTCCCCGCTGAGAAAAGTCATCATTGGTGTAGCAAAGTCAGAATTCTGCCCGGGCTTCTCAATTTTCTCCAACAAAACTCAACTTATATGTAATACAAATATCATTTTCGGGATCAGGATCAAAAACTGAGTCGACTGATGTGTATTTCTAAATTTTTAGTATGTTTTCATTTTTTGGTAATCTGGATGATTTTTCAACGTGAAAATTCGAAAAAAATTAAATTACTCGAATCT